GGCCTCATCTTCTAATACCATTACATTGGGCATTAAGACTTCAATATATAAATTTTGGGGAGACACAAACTATATTAGTCCATTTTGTGCTGCTATAACAGAATACCACAGACTGGGTAATTTATAATGAACAGAAATTTATTACCTTACAGTTCCAAAGGTTGAGAGGTCCCAGATCAAGGGACTGGCATATGGAAAAGGCCTTCTTGCTGCATCATCTCACGGTGGATTGTGAGAAGGTAAGAAAGGATGAGAGAGAATGAGAGAGAAAGAAAGAGAGAGAGAGAGAGAGAAAGAGAAGGGTACTGAACTCCCCTTTTTATAACACATCCACTCTTGCAATAACAACATTAATTCATTCATGAGGACACCACCCTCAAGGCCTAATTACCTCTGAGTAGGCCTCACCTCATTGTTGCATTGGGGATTAAGTTTCCAACACACTTTTGGAAGATATATTCAAACCATAGCACAGACATTTGGTCTATAACAGTAGGCTTCCTTTGTTATTCCTGCAGTTTATACCTGACTTCAAAGATGTTAACTATGGCCACACCAACAACTTTTGTCAATTGAACCTGATTACCATTTCTGCTATCTTTAATCACTTTTTGGACATCGTTTTGGAGCAAAGTTTATAACCATGACATATATGTGGAGAATTTATTTCCCTTTCCTTCTGATGTATCTTTAAACATTTCATTCCTACAGCTCTCTCATGATATTTCTTACATCTTTTCGCATAGAGGCATTTTTGGCACATGGCAGTCCCTAGGACAGAGAGGAAAACATGTTTTCTTTTTCATATCAGCTATCAGTCTTCTAAGCATCTCAATGACCTATTCTAATCAAGGCTGAAAAGTGTCTCCCTGGGACAGGTCTAGAATTCCCTGCATTTTTGTGCCTTCTGAGTTTCCCCAAGTAGCTGGATAGCATACATTGCTCTGCCCATTCTACTAGATGAGCCTGCTTCTTTTATGGCATGCCCAAACCCTTTAGGAAGGGATGTCAGAATGTAAGACTTCGGCCACTTTTATACATTTTTTTCTCCTTATTTCTATAGGAAGAGGCTCAATTTTTAAAAGACAAATCAGTATCTGAGTTTGTGTTTAAATGTTACTTTCTAGACATCCCTCTTTCACAAGAGCTCCCTGGAAACTGCACAGGAATCACCATCTTCAGCAAGCTTTATCAAGAATGCATTCATGAGATTCCCACTTTAAACATCCAGCCAAGCACTTTTATGTCTGCCCAGGGGCTTTAAAGGAGAGGCTGGAGAGTTCTCATTTTCAGCACCATCTCGGCTGTCGGTATTTCCCAAACCTGCACTGATGTCTGAGAATCCACATCAGAACTTTTGCATTTGTCCTCAAAGGATGTCACAACTTTTATTCTAAAATGCCCGTTGCATCTATTTCTAGGGATGGTAATGATTACTCTGTATGGACTAAGATAGGATTAATAACGATGCAGAATTGAACTCAATTATCAAGCTCTAGATATTTAATTGTCTTATTGAGAAAATCTGAAATTGAAGGGGCATAAAAACATGAAACTGTTTTACTTTTTTTCTCCTTGTCACCCTTTAATGAGATTTATGGGAGACTTAAAACTTGCCTGTCACTTTTATATTGAAAAAAGTCCAATCTGGCCTAGATTAGTTTAGAATTTCAGTTTCTTTTTTTCTTTTCTTTTTTTTTTAAGATGGGGTCTTGCTCTGTCACCTCAGCTGCAGTGCAGTGGTGCAGTCATGGCTCACTGCAGCCTCAACCTCCTGGGCTCAAGCAATCTTCCTGCTTCAGCCTCCCAAGTAGCCGGAACTACAGGCATTTGCCACCATAACCAGCTAATTTGTTTTTTTTTGTAGAGGTGGTGTCTTGCTATATTCCCCATGCTGATCTCAAACTCCTGGTCTTAAGCAATTGTCCCATCTCAGCCTCCCAAAGTACTGGGACTACAGGCATGAGCCACTACGCCTAGCCTCTTGTCTAAAACTCTTATCCTTCCCTCACTGATCAGCCTTGAATTGTATGTGGAGGTAAGGATGTTCTTAGATTTATCAAAATAATAAAACAAAAACAAAAATAAAAATTGCCCAGTTAAATTTAAATTTCAGATAAACATTTTCTTTTGGTATAAGTATACTTCAAATAGTGCCTGTAGCATACTTTAAATTTTTTGTTTGTGTATCTGAAATTCAAATTTAATGGGTCATCTTGAATTTCCTTTGGTAACCTATTCTATTATCATAGACTCTGGGTCCTCCGGGGTCTTTGGTGGGTGGTGGTGAAAAGAAATGAGTATCTTTTGTGTAACTGAGCACATGATTATAAGCAATTCCTTCTTGATTGTTTCTCAGGGTTCTGCTGTGTTGCCCTGAGTCACCGATTTGCTACAAATATTTGAGCCCCAGGCTTCTGTTGGCCTGGAAACTTAAATACTTGATGAATCAGAGGAAACTTCAGGATAACTGGGACCAGGATTTCTGGGACAGTCTGTTTTCTTGTGTAAAAACCTTCAGAGATGTTCTTTAAAATAATATTGGCCAATATTGTTGAGAAAACTACACATTCACACGTTAATACTAATTTTATTTTTAATCATGTGATGAATAATTAAATATTGAAATCACTTTTGGACTACTGACAATTTTATTATCAAAACACTTGAATGAGCTGTTGATGCTTGTAATTTTAAATGAAGCCAGCACCTGAAGCCCTCAGATAAAAATCTGTATTTCTCCACTCTGTCAAATGATGGGTAGTATACCAAAGTCACAAAGACATTTTTCTGAGTCCAGAAATAAAATATTCTTCATCATATTGATTTCCGATGCTGCTTATTTTGCACTTTTGAACTTGTAATTTAAATAGTTATCACATGTACAGATATATACAGAGGTATGCTATACATATAAAATGCATATAAAGTATTCTTATTTTTTGAGGAATTTTGACAAACACAAACAAAGACAAAGACAATACCATGTCTCTACCAACAGTGAATGGCCTTTCCCTGTAACTAGGCATACTGGTGTTCAGATATTTAAAATAGCGATTAACGTTAGATTGTGAATACTTCAACTGGGATTTGAAATACAGATGCATATGAGATGGATTCTTTATAACCTACCTACCAGGTTGAGCTCAGATGGTTTTTTTGTTATCATTGTTGTTGCCATGGGAAGGGTACAAAAGACAATGGTAGGATGAAATCACGGAGATAAATTGATATACAGATGAAGTTTAGGCCGTGTAATAATAACTAAGTACCTATGATGTAGAGTTGTTTCAACTAAATAAGGTTGAATATATTAAAACACTTTGGAGAATGTAAACTATTATAGCCAAACATAATTATTTCATGTTTTACAATTCTGTTTCTCTCTATTTTAATATAAATATTGACCTAATAATCTGTGCATGGCAGGAATTCTTATTTTAAAAATTTGCAAAGATTTAAGGGGACTTTCTAAAAAGTTCTTGGAAGTCTTATGGTTCTAATTATGCCCACTGAATAGAATGCAATTTTCTGAAAATAATTTTCTTTGGAGCAATGCAGATTTTAGTGAATCATATGTTTGAAGACATCTTTAATTGAGAAAAATATTGCAAAGGTAAATAAAAGCATATTCCTAGGCACCCTTAAATAAATATAGTGCAATAAAGTATAAGATAAAAATCTACTTAAACACATAATTAGCTTGGCTAATCTTTCTTCTCCCTATTCTTTCTTCTCCCTATTCTTTCCTTCCTAATTGTTATAATATTGACAATGTTATTTTTTTCACAAATTTCTATTAAAGATTTTTTTCCCCCATATCATAGAGATAATGGTCACAGATGTTGTTAGTAGTTCCAGATTCCTTATCTCTCCAAACTTTATCTTGATACTGTGAATAAATTTCACAGAATTAATTTCAGAATTAAAAGGGAAAAACCATAATTTCTGGCACATTTATGCCTGTTTGTGGTTTGTAACCCCAGAAGTTGTCAAACTTTGTGTTCAGTTTACAGATTTTGAATACAAATAAAAGATGACACGTACTGTGTGATTTTTAGTTCTGTGACTTATAACTGATACACATTCAAGTGTTGGTGGATATATATAAGTATATAATAATTAAATACATATGTGTGTGTATATGTACATTTTTAAAACATAGCAACATAAAAGACTAGATTTCTATTTTACTATTTCATGATCCTATCTCAGTGGTAACAGTAAGATGTAGTTTATAGACAAGGTATTTTATATATAAGATTATTTGAATTGTGAAGAAATAATCCCTTTGTTGAAAAAAATTGCGGTCTCACACCTGTGAATACTTTGTAAACCATAAAAAACAAAACGTCCAAAGTTGATCTGACAGCTGAAGATCAAGGGCACATATCAAACTAAAAAACAGACATAACATCTGATTTTTCATTCTAGCAAGACATAGCTCATATTTCAGTTTATGTCTTTTCTAATTGATTCAGCAGGCCTGACATTGAACTGCACATAATATAACCAGTTTGATGAGGTGCAACCTATCCTAAGGTTACCAGGTAACTTAAAAAAATTACACATATGTTCCTAAGTCTAGAGCTTCAAAATTGGACACAGTTACTTGCAAATATATTTGAAAATAAAGTTTTCAATTGCTCTGCAATTTTAAGAGTTACTGTGCTGAAAAGGATGTTCTTTGGAATAAACAGCATGATAGAGACAGAATCAAAGTATGTTCATATTAGGAAATATTGTATTATACTACAGCAATGATTTTTGCATTTCATTAATGAAACAAAAATTTATTTACTTTAAAATAGGGAGGTAAGCTAGATAATTGTGTCATTTCCTTTCTAGCTTTAAAAGTCTGTAAGTGAATAGTAAAGGTCACTATCATAAAAAAATAAAACAGTGACGCCAAATGGAGATTTTCTTCTTATACTCTACTACTTGGATCTTTGCTCTGCCTTTTCCTTTCAAATGATGTTTTCCTTAATATATCCTAACAGGAATAATCAAGCTTTTGTGAAGCAAAGAACTGAGTGATGAGATAAATAAGGACAAATCCAGAAAGGTAGCTGATGTATTTAAAGTCCAGGACCAGATGGATTCACAGCTGAATTCTACCAGAGGTACAAGGAGGAGTTGGTACCATTCCTTCTGAAACTATTCCAATCAATAGAAAAAGAGGGAATCCTCCCTAACTCATTTTATGAGGCCAACATCATCCTGATACCAAAGCCTGGCAGAGACACAACAAAAAAAGAGAATTTTAGACCAATATCCCTGATGAACATCGATGCAAAAATCCTCAATAAAATACTGGAAAACCGGATTCAGCAACACATCAAAAAGCTTATCCACCATGATCAAGTGGGCTTCATCCCTGGGATGCAAGGCTGGTTCAACATTCGCAAATCAATAAACATAATCCAGCACATAAACAGAACCAAAGACAAGAACCACATGATTATCTCAATTGATGCAGAAAAGGCTTTTGACAAAATTCAACAGCCCTTCATGCTAAAAACGCTCAATAAATTCGGTATTGATGGAACGTACCTCAAAATAATAAGAGCTATTTATGACAAACCCACAGCCAATCTCATACTGAATGGGCAAAAACTGGAAAAATTCCCCTTGAAAACTGGCACAAGACAGGGATGCCCTCTCTCACCACTCCTATTCAACATAGTGTTGGAAGTTCTGGCTAGGGCAATCAGGCAAGAGAAAGAAATCAAGGGTATTCAGTTAGGAAAAGAAGAAGTCAAATTGTCCCTGTTTGCAGATGACATGATTGTATATTTAGAAAACCCCATTGTCTCAGCCCAAAATCTCCTTAAGCTGATAAGCAACTTCAGCAAAGTCTCAGGATACAAAATTAATGTGCAAAAATCACAAGCATTCTTATACACGAGTAACAGACAAACAGAGAGCCAAATCAGGAATGAATTTCCATTCACAATTGCTTCAAAGAGAATAAAATACCTAGGAATCCAACTTACAAGGGATGTAAAGGACCTCTTCAAGGAGAACTATAAACCACTGCTCAGTGAAATAAAAGAGGACACAAACAAATGGAAGAACATACCATGCTCATGGATAGGAAGAATCAATATCGTGAAAATGGCCATACTGCCCAAGGTAATTTATAGATTCAATGCTATCCCCATCAAGCTACCAATGAGTTTCTTCACAGAATTGGAAAAAAAACTGCTTTAAAGTTCATATGGAACCAAAAAAGAGCCCGCATCTCCAAGACAATCCTAAGTCAAAAGAACAAAGCTGGAGGCATCACGCTACCTGACTTCAAACTATACTACAAGGCTACAGTAACCAAAACAGCATGGTACTGGTACCAAAACAGAGCTATAGACCAATGGAACAGAACAGAGTCCTCAGAAATAATACCACACATCTACAGCCATTTGATCTTTGACAAACCTGAGAGAAACAAGAAATGGGGAAAGGATTCCCTATTTAATAAATGGTGCTGGGAAAATTGGCTAGCCATAAGTAGAAAGCTGAAACTGGATCCTTTCCTTACTCCTTATACGAAAATTAATTCAAGATGGATTAGAGACTTAAATGTTAGACCTAATACCATAAAAATCCTAGAGGAAAACCTAGGTAGTACCATTCAGGACATAGGCATGGGCAAAGATTTCATGTTAAAACACCAAAAGCTACGGCAGCAAAAGCCAAAATTGACAAATGGGATCTCATTAAACTAAAGAGCTTCTGCACAGCAAAAGACACTACCATCAGAGTGAACAGGCAACCTACAGAATGGGAGAAAATTTTTGCAATCTACTCATCTGACAAAGGGCTAATATCCAGAACCTACAAAGAACTCAAACAGATTTACAAGAAAAAAACAAACAACCCCATCAAAAAGTGGGCAAAGGATATGAACAGACATTTCTCAAAAGAAGACATTCATACAGCCAACAGACACATGAAAAAATGCTCATCATCACTGGCCATCAGAGAAATGCAAATCAAAACCACAATGAGATACCATCTCACACCAGTTAGAATGGCAATCATTAAAAAGTCAGGAAACAACAGGTGCTGGAGAGGATGTGGAGAAATAGGAACACTTTTACACTGTTGGTGGGATTGTAAACTAGTTCAACCATTATGGAAAACAGTATGGCGATTCCTCAAGGATCTAGAACTAGATGTACCATATGACCCAGCCATCCCATTACTGGGTATATACCCAAAGGATTATAAATTATGCTGCTATAAAGACACATTCACACGTATGTTTATTGCAGCACTATTCACAATAGCAAAGACTTGGAATCAACCCAAATGTCCATCAGTGACAGATTGGATTAAGAAAATGTGGCACATATACACCATGGAATACTATGCAGCCATAAAAAAGGATGAGTTTGAGTCCTTTGTAGGGACATGGATGCAGCTGGAATCCATCATTCTTAGCAAACTATCACAAGAACAGAAAACCAAACACCGCATGTTCTCACTCATAGGTGGGAACTGAACAATGAGATCACTCGGACTCAGGAAGGGGAACATCACACACCTGGGCCTATCATGGGGAGGGGGGAGGGGGGAGGGATTGCATTGGGAGTTATACCTGATGTAAAGGATGAGTTGATGGGTGCAGCACAGCAACATGGCACAAGTATACATATGTAACAAACCTGCACGTTATGCACATGTACCCTACAACTTAAAGTATAATAATAATAAATAAATTAAAAAAAAAGAAAATTTATGTGCAATATTTGTATTTTATCAGTTTCTCTGAAAGCTGTCTTAATAGAGAAATTATTTTCCTATAATGATCAAGACAATATTCATTACAGAAACATTCTAAGTAGAATAAATTATAAAACTGCTCAGAGTAGCACAGCTTATAATATAATTCCATCAGCAGTGTAGCACCATAGGATGGATTTTCAATAGTGAAGTATGAATGCAATAGATATTTAATATAGAATATGATGACTAAATGAATTATTTTTATGAATAATAATTTCTAATCATTAAAAAAATTGTATGAAATATTTAGAAATTTTTGGTAGAATTTAGAAATAAGTCAGGATTGTGTCAATCCATCCATTTTGCAGATTAGAAAATTGAGACCTAGATAAGATAAATCATTTGTTTATTGTCTCATTAACACCTGGTTCAGAATAGACATGGAGGACCATTCTTAATTTATCAGACTCACTCCCAAGTGTAAGAATGCTTTTAGAATACAAGACTGTCATATTAATATGTATCGGGTAAATCTCGTATCAGAAAAATTTTACATAACTTCATACTGAAAAACCTGTGTAATATTTCATAGTCACTCTGATGTAAGTAAGATATCTTATGATTCTAATAAAGGTTTTGATTCATGGCACAATACTTTCTAAATACCAAGGTGATTTATTATTTGAACATTGTGGGTTCTTTGTGTAATTGTATACTTCAGTTCTTAGACATACAGCATATGATTTATTAATGGATAGAAGGTTTTGCTTTTGTACTTCAGACCTGTTAAATGGAGGAAAAGAAGTAGTTTGAATCTTTGGAATATACATCATAATAGTACAATATTTAGTATATTAAAAATTTGAATTTCATAATCAAATTTTTCTTATAGTTTTGTTTGATCATTGATGACGTATTATTCTTTGGGACATGTTGGCAAAGATGCAGTCTTCTTCATGTAGATGTCCTTAGAAGGTTACAATTTATAATACATTGGAACTTTGTATGGAACAACAACAGAGGCTTCAGATAAAGTTGCTACTTCCTAAGAATCCAGAATTCAAAAGAGAGAATAACAGATGTGTTCCTAAGCATACTTCTCTATACAAAGAAAAGAAATGAAGAATATTAAGAGGTCAGGGTATATATAGATAAGTTAGAAGTTGAAAAGAGATGGAGTCAACCTGAAAAAGCTTCAGAAAATAGATATACCTGAAACAAACATTTAGACATAAGATACAATATGCTTTCCTGGAAATTGTTCCAGAAGTAAGAAGTAGCTCTGGGATTTAAAGGTCGCTCTGAAGCAAGAAAAGCATATTGCTAGAGAAAGTATAAAGCAGAGGCTAGTGAGAAATGAGATTGACAGTGTAGAACTGTAAAGGAAGAGAATTAGACATTAAAGAGATGTGTATGCACGTGACTTCTAACTGCGTACAGTCCACACTGTATGAAACACAGAATTGTGGACAAGAGCATGACCCTAGAAGCTCAGCTCTATAATTTAAAAGTTCTCTCTAACTGTAAAATGTGGAAAATAATTCTACTTGACAAATGTTTAGCACTTATTAAATTTATATTTTGTGCCAGGAACAAAGCACTTTGCATATATAAATTCATTAGCCATCAGGATAACCCATTGGAGTAAGTTTTAATGCTTTTGTTATGAGGATTAACTGGACAAATAAGTGCCAAGAACTTAAGTGAACTTCAAAAGTTAGCAATTAGGATGATCATAACGAAATGCTCTTCAAATGAAAAAAAAGTAAGTTTAATCAAGATCTAGTTATACCATTGTTGTTAGTGATATCACCAATGTCAAGAGAGTAAATGAACCATTACAGCTGAAGTTATTTGTGAATTCAAGCTTCATTTTAGTATCTGAAGGTCAGAACAAATCATCTTGTAAGTGTTCTGATGCTTCACATTTGTAAATCAACTATTTTTATTTGTTCATTGTCTTTCAGGAGGTGCCTATTTTCACTGCACATAGATATGCCTTGAGAATGGGTTTTCAATGAACACATTTTTGGTTTTGGCTGCCTGTTTCTGTTTAAAATAAATGTAACATAACAAAATCCATTGAGTGCAGCAAAATTTCAGATTCTGGTTGAATTTACTTAAATTTCCACTCCTTGTCTACAGCAGTTTTGAATGTTTTTCTCACGTGCCCAGGGTTACCCAAAATTTCAGCCTTCTTAACAGAGCTTTGTAGAAATAGTGGGGCCCAAGTTTCTTCAACATGTTGGAGCAGGCACTGCTCCTAAGAGACTGGAAGTTAATGACTTTAGCTAAAGCTGAAACTTGCTTTCATGTCTCCCTCCCTGATCTGTGACATAGAGCAATTAGAGTTAAATAAGATTGGTATATTGATGCCTATAACATGCAAAACTGGTGCCTGTATCAATTGCAACTAAAGAAAAG